ATATAATAATAATAATAATAATAATAACATATTATTTTTACGTCGTTGCAACGGTCACGGTTGGATGAGTTGAACGGCACGTTGGCAAAAAAAAAGCACAAAAATGTATAGAGAGATATATATGGTTTTACGCCATTCGATTTTATTGTACATATGAATCGGCCTTAGATGTGGTATCTTAATAAATATTGCTCCAAGGTGCATATTTTAATTACCTGTACGCGTTATGTACTTTGTATGACATGACCATTATATGGGCAAATAGGTAGGCAGGTACCGACTATGTAAGTGTGAAAGTCGACGGAGAAATGAAAACAAAAGGACAGCAAACAAGTGGATCTACGAGTATCTCCGTCGTCAAATGCGCGCAGTGTGGACATCACGATAATCTTTGTTGTTAATTTATAATATTACCAATTATTATTGCCGTTGCGAAAAAATATAATAATAATTTCGACTCATACAAGTATGTTCGTGTGTGTGTTGTGTGCGCTTGTACGTTCCAATGTATATTTATGTGACGAAACGCAACAATATATGCACTCTCAGTCGGGACAATTGTGATGACCCTCCGGGGCGTTTATAATTCTCGATCGTTATGACATCTTATGTATAATACAGACGCACCGTCGGAAAGTGAAACGAAGATGACAGAAGTACTATGAAAAGTGAAAATGACTTCTTCTCTGATTAACAACCGCACTCCATAGCAGTATGCCAAGCCATTTATATTTGTTTACATAATTTAATATAAAATCTGTTTCAGTAGTTAGAAATCGACAAGTATAAATCTTATACATTTTACGAAGTTGTTAATATGTAAACAAGGAACACACAAACAAGAATTAATAAATTATAAGTTCACGTCAATCGTCAAGTATAAGGTAAGAAAATTCGTCAACGTGTAGAGTGATTGATCATGTCGAAAACTTGATCGTATATTGAAACTCCATATTCATAAATTCAATAATCAGATGAAATAGTTTAACTTATTGTAATATGTAGACTATATCATTTCGATCGTCAAATATTTTAGTGTTTATTGTATACATAGATAACCGCATTTATTTATTTATATATAGTGATTCCTCGCGTACGATAAAATATAACTTTTAATCGAACGATCTTCATTTTATCACACTATTAATATGCAATTAATGCAAAAATTACGCGTTTAATTGTATCTAGTTATTATTTTTTAAACGGTTTTAGTCTACTGGTATTAATGTAATTCGAAGTTTGGTTACTCTTCAAATGAAATCTCTCGAATAAGCATTTACATTATTATTGTTATTATTATTATTATTATTATTATTATTATTATTATTATTATTATT